TCCTTTTTGGCTTCTTGTAAATATTGTGGAACTGAAGTATTTATATCTTGTTATTTTCCTTTTGATAGACTGGGCTAACTTTGCCCAATTGTAGTCATTACATTTGTCAGGATTGTTTGGAAATGTGATGCCATATAGTTTAATAGTTTCTGATACTTTCAGGTCAGGGGGAAAGTCAGTTTTTTTTTTTTCCATCGTCCTAGTCCCATGATGTAAGATTTATTTATGTTTATCTCTGCTCCACTTCCTTTGCCAAATTCCATAAACGTGTTTATTATTTCTCTTATACTTTCATCACTGGAGGAGAAGAATGCAGTGTCATCTGCGTAAGCAATGAGTTTGCAAATTTCCGCTCCAGGTATGAAAGTACCATTGATGTTCTCATTTTGTCTATTTTTTTTTTTCAAGTAAAGGTTCCAGAGCTAATACATACAGTAATGGTGACAAGGGGCAGCCCTGTTTTACTGATCTTGTGAAATGAAACACTGATGACAAAACATGATTTACTAAAATTTGACTTTTGGGTTGACTATATAATATTTTAATCCAGGTTGTAAAGTATGGGCCAATGTTACAACCATTAAGTACATTTAATAAATATGAATGCGAAATCCTGTCAAACGCTTTCTCCTGATCCATCGACAGGAGAGAGGTTTGACAGTCTTTCTGATGAGTAAAGGTAATTAAATCTCTGACAAAATGGGTATGGTTCTGTATATTTCTGTTTTTGACACCACACTGTTGGTTCACATGTATCAAAGTGTCCATAACTAGTTGTAACTTTTTTGTTAGTATTTTAGTCAAAATCTTGTAATCAATATTCAAACGAAATTGGTCTGTAGTTACTTAACAGTTTTTTATTGGCGTCTCCTTTCGGTATTAATGTAATATATGACAGGTTACAACTTTCGGGAAGCTTTTTTCTTTTGAACGCTTATTGACAAACTTTTAATAAAGTGTAATTTAAATTTGGTATAAATGTTTTATAAAATTCTACTGTAAGTCCATCTGGGCCAGGTGATTTGTTTTTCTGCATGGCGTCTAAAGCTCTGGTAATCTAAGGTGATTTGTGTGTCTAATAGTTCCTTTTCTTCATCTGTGATCTTTTTTGCATTTTGTATAAATTCTTTTTGTACATCTGAGTTCGTTTGTTCTGCTGTGAATAGTGTTTTGTAATATTGTTCAAATGCTTGTATTATGTCTTCTTGCTGTGTTAGTGTGTTTCCATTTATGTCTACTATTTCTTTTTTTTTTTTTTTTTGGTCTGTTATTTTGTATGTTTTGCTCTAATGTGATATCTTGGTAACTAGGAGTTTTGTGCTCTTATGTGTATAGTTTGGTTCTTAATAGAGCTCCTTGATATTTATATTGTTATAACTCTTCTAGTTCTGCCTGTATTGTGTGTGAGTATGTTGTATTTTTTCTGCATTTTTCAGTGTTTAATTTTGTCTCTAGTATAAATTTTACTGTCGTTTTAAGTTCGTTCAGTGGGATCCTGACTGCTGTGGTGCGTATCCTGACTGGTTGCCTCCAATTTGAGCACCTCGTTTTTATTTGCTAGGGTAGACTGGGATCATACTCGAGGAGCCGTCTGGCTTCACGGCACCATATACTCGCCGTCGCCCCTTCTCCTGTTGGTTTAACCAGCTCCGCCACGAGAATGCCAATGTTGGACGTTAGATGTCAGAAGTCATGAATGCACATGTCTTAGGGGTATATGGTGGGAGCTGAGAGCTCAACCTCAACCACCCAGGCCACATGCTATGACAGCAATTTAGAACCCGAAACTAACTAATTGAATAGCATAATATAGCTATATATTCAGCTTTAAACAGCTTGAACAAAATATTAAACTCTAAATGATATAGTTTTAGGAACAAGTTCGGTATTTTAAATTCTAAAGTTATTTCAGTTTTAACATACTCTAAAGTCGAACCACTTAAGATATGGATGAACATAAAACAGGATAAATTCAAGAGGAGTTGAAAAAATAAAATAAACAAGAAACTTATGGAAAACCACTTGCATCAACAGTTGCAAGTGAAGATGGCGTTATATTGGACATATTTTGAGAAGGGAATCATCAAATAGGCACTGCAATGAGAAATAGATGGACTAAGAAAACGAGGACGCCCAAAAGATACCCTAAAGAGAAAGTTGATGAGAGAAGCGAAAGTTGATGAGAGAAGCGAAAGTTGATGAGAGAAGCGAAAGTTGATGAGAGAAGCGAAAGTTGATGAGAGAAGCGAAAGTTGATGAGAGAAGCGAAAGTTGATGAGAGAAGCGAAAGTTGATGAAAGAAGCGAAAGTTGATGAGAGAAAAGAAAGTTGATGAGATAAGCCAAGTGATTGCACAGGATAGAGCTAAATGGCTTGACTGCAAATCCTGTGTGACGTATACTGGTACAATGGGACGATGGATGGATGGACGGATGGATGGATGGATGGATGGATGGATGGATGGATGGATGGATGGATGGATGGATGGATGGATGGATGGATGGATGGATGGATGGATGGATGGATGGATGGATGGATGGATGGATGGATGAGCGAATGCATGAATATTCAGTGTCGCTAGCTTCAACCAGTTTGGCAACCAGCAACCCACTATCAGTTCGCTTGTTCCATGGTGTGTTATACTTTTCCGAATTCCTTATATTTCAGCCCAGTGGTCTTTGACATTTTTCAAGTCACAGTCACCCCCCTTCCCTCCCCCTCCTCACTATATGGCAAGACCCCACGGTTCCCATCCCCCTTTGAGTATATGGCAAGACCAGTAGTATGCCATTTCTTTTTGGACAGTCGGCTTCTCGATACCACTGTCGAAACTAGCGCAAGGCCCGCAGCTGGGATCCACCCCAGCAGCCCAGCATTACGAAGCTCGTTCGTAAGCCACATACACTGACATTTATAGTAAAACAAAATGATTATTTACAATGCTCTCACTTTCAAAATCGCTTGATGCCTCTAGGAAACCTGCCTGTGCCATCTTTAGGAGCGCCCCATCTCCCCCATGATGGAGACCTAGCGGTGGCTGTACTCACACACACGCCTTCAGTTCTTCTGTTCTATTGTGCCATAAATACAAATCATAGGGTTGAAACGTGCATTTCTTCTTCTTCTTCTTCTTCTTCTTCTTCTTCTTCTTCTTCTTCTTCTTCTTCTTCTTCTTCTTCTTGTTCTTCTTCTTCTTCTTCTTCTTCTTCTTCTTCTTCTTCTTCTTCTTCTTCTTCTTCTTCTTCTTCTTCTTCTTTCTCTTCTTTCTGCTGCTGCGGTGGCGTCGTCGTTCACTCTTAAAATGGCGGTTGGCATGTTTTGTTGTGGCTTACAGCTAAGCTACAACATCTGCTTCCTTTGGTCAAACACATCTCGATCTCAACAAGTCCATAATTAGCCCCCAGTTCTACCCAGTCTTAAATTTACATCAGGTAAATTCATCGGAAGTAATGGCGGTCCACGTCATATTGGCACCATCACAAACCAAGTGCCGATTTGTCTATATTCTATAATATATAGCTCTAGCACTATAAGCCCAGTGCGCATGAAAACACGGAAAAGGGTCCGTAATGCGTCGCCTCTTCCGACATACATTTTAAGGCACAGTGGGGCTTTACAATTCTGAAATGGGTCACATGAACTCAGACGGGGAGATGTCTTACAGTAACAGTCACCCAGTCAAGAAAAAGTTCAACTAACACCTTCTGGGCAATAAAAGAGTTAACTAAGACCTGAGGTCGTGTGCCAGTTTGTCATAGAATCTCTTCATGAGCTCCCGATCTCCTTCATCCTCTGGGCTGGGATAAGGCAGGTAGGTGTTGTTTTTGATGTAACCGAGCAGCTCCACGTCCAGTTCCCTGTTAGGGATGTTCTCTTTGATGACAAACACCAGCACCTCACGTCCTGTGTGGACCGCCTCATTGGTCGCCATCTGAGAAGGAAACAGTTTTAACGCATTTTTGGCTTTCGTAATCGAAATGTAACTACAACATGCTTTTTCTTCTTCTTTTCTCTACTCCTAGAATGCCTGGTGGCCTCAGGACAGGAAGAGATCTCTGGAACGGGCCCTTCTGTTCGCTTCGTATAAAATACTTTTAAATGTCTCTGATATTTCCTGTTACCGTTGTATCTGTAATATAATGCTCTCTGTGGTGCCCTGTCTGATGCCAATCCTGTTACATAACAAAAGCATTTGATTTGTTGTCTACCTATGAAGTTCAGTTTTGGTTCAGCCATCAGACAGTACAGTCGCTTCCGCCATTTTACAGTACAGTCACTTCCGCCATCATACAGTACAGTTACTTTCGTCATCATACAGTACAGTCGCTTCCCCATCAAACAATAAAGTCACTTTAGCCATCATACAGTACAGTCGCATCCGCCATCATACAGCACAATCACTTCCACTATCATACAGTAAAGTCACTTCCGCTGTCATATAGTATAGTCGCTTCTGCCATCATACAGTACAGTCGTTTCAACCATCATACAGTACAGTCACTTCCACCATCATTCAGTACAGTCGCTTCCGCCATCATACAGTACAATCACTCCCACCATCATACAGTATAGTCACTTCAGCCGTGACCTTCGAAAGTACTACCGACGGTCTCGCCTCAGCCATCATACCAGTTACTCACCTATATCTCATAGTTACACCAGTTACTCACCTGTATCTCATAGTTACCACAGTTACTCACTTGTATCTCATAGTTACACCAGTTACTCACCTGTATCTCATAGTTACACCAGTTACTCACCTGTATCTCATAGTTACACCAGTTACTCACCTGTATCTCAAGAGTTACACCAGTTACTCACCTGTATCTCAAGAGTTACACCAGTTACTCACCTGTATCTCAAGAGTTACACCAGTTACTCACCTGTATCTCAAGAGTTACACCAGTTACTCACCTGTATCTCAAGAGTTACACCAGTTACTCACCTGTATCTCATAGTTACAACAGTTACTCACCTGTATGTATTTCATAGTTACTCACCTGTAACTCAAAGTTGCACCAATAACTCTCCACGAAGCTACGTGTCAGTACCGCCAGAGTCCTCCTGCTCTCAGCCACAGCCCTGAAAATGTTGGCGGGAATGGAGGTTCCCGCCACAAAATCCCGCCCGTGAACGAGCAGAACCAGACCACGTTGTTCTAGTTCTAAGGAAAAAAAAACAGAGAAAATTTAAGGAAGTAACAATTAAAGCAGTGTGAAAAAACAACACTGAGAATTAAAGGAAGTACAAATTTAGGCAGCTAAAAAAAAAAAAAAAAAACAAAGACAATGTAAACAGTTTTAAAAAATTACATTATAAATGTAAGCAAGTAAGAATTGAAGTGCGAATATAAAAAAAAAAAAAAAACATTGACTTTGAAAATATAAGAAAGTAAATGTTGAAGTATCAAGAATACACATTAAAAACTTAATTAATTTTTTTTAGAAAAAAAAAAAAAAAAAAAACACTGAACATGTAAGTAAGCAAAAGTTATGGTATGAAGAAAAATAATGAAGATGTAAGCAAGTGAAAATTTAAGTACGAAGACAATTACGGAAATGTAAGCAAGTAAAAATTAAAATATCTTTATTTTTTCACGCTTTGTAGCACTGGGAATTAACTGATAGTTTCATATAATAATAATAATAATAATAATAATAATAATAATAATAATAATAATTATTATTATTATTATTATTATTATTATTATTATTATTATCAGTCGACATTCAACTGTTCGTGTGATGGCCTGTACTTTTCTTACAATTTCCTCGCATTCATTTGAGGTTTGAACAACGGATCATCGTCATGGCACACGGGTGTAACCAGTAAGTGCTCCGTTCTTCTTTTAACTCAAGTCTGAGTATGAAGAAGCCCAGTACAGTGCACAGGCTCTGTAGCACCGGCGAGGATCATGAAATACTTTGGGTAGATTTTTAACTCAAAATCTTGCCCGGCCAGCGCCGTTAGGCTACTCTTTTCGATTTCCAACTACCATGGGATTTTTTTACGTGTGCAACAAGGCACACGGGCGTCCGATTTCAATACACAGAGACCACGGGGAATTACCAGAAGTCCAATTCCACGTGAAAAAATCCCAGCTCTTACCGGGGATTGAACCCGGAACCCCTAGCACTCCAGGCGGACACCATGCCTCAAGACCACGCAGCCCTCTACTCGCATTCATTGAAGCTGGCAGCCCTAATTAAACTACATAACACAATATGTTTCGATAAGGATTTTTATTATCATTATTCCTCTTCCTCCTCTCTTCTTTCCTCCTCCTTCTTTTTCTTCTTTTTCTTCGTCTTCTTCTTCTTCTTCTTCTTCTTCTTCTTCTTCTTCTTCTTCTTCTTCTTCTTCTTCTTCTTCTTCTTCTTCTTCTTCTTCTTCTTCTTATCCTTCATCTTCTTCGTCTTCTGCTTAATATTACTTTTTCACGCATTTAGGCGTATAGGGCATATAGGGCTAGATCTATATTTTTATAGACCAACTAGCTGTACCCGGCCACGCGTTGCTGTGGCGTAATTTGACTACATGGAAAATAGAGAACATAGAAATGTGTCTTCGCTTCACGCTAGCGATGTACAGAGCAACAGCTAAACCACAGCTAATAAAACTGGTTACACAAGTGGTTATTTGGTTATCACATGCTAAAGCTGTTTGTATTTTTATAGGAGACGGAAGTAAAGCTACAACTGTACTTGTAAATAACAAAGTAAGTCGTAAAAAATAGAAAAGCGGAGGTAGCGTTAGTAAAATATAAACAAATTAGGTAATGAGAACTTGAAAATCACGTGTAAAGCTCTAAAAGTTCTCTTAAATTTAAGTCATTACCCCCTCCCCTCCCCTCTTCCACCGACTACTGCTCTCTCCCTCTTCGAAGGATTTGAAAATCACTAACTGGCGATATTTTGTTGTTGCTGTAACTGACATTGACATCCCTGTCCATCTGGACTAAAATAAGGAGCAGGAAATTGTAAAAGGTAGTGAATAGGGCTAGTGAAATATTTACCACATCATCCTTCAAGTACCAGTACAACTACTAAAAAATATTGTCACTGCTATCTGTGTTACCATCGGAGTAGACAGAGAGTCGTGAGCCAGAAGATTTGGTTCCGCATGGCTAGTGCTGTCGCCACAGACTGGTCAGGTTAGGATGTATAATTTTACTTGCCGACAGAAGAAACGCCATAACCTTACCGGCGGTCTTCACATGAGAGCACTATGGTGTAACAGCCCAACCACAACTATTACTGCTGCTGCTACTTTAAGTGGGTAAAGCAGTTACTGTGACTTAAAGCTCTCTCAGTTAATAGTTTTTTTTTTTTGCCCCCCCCCCCCCCCAAATTCACCGACAACTCTTTCCCCACATTGAAGTAGTTGGGAGGGAAAAAAAAACACTTGAAAAGCAAATGAACACAGGAAAAAAAACACCATAATTAGGAAATGAAACGCCATTGTAAACAGCACAGCTTAAAATTCCAACACAGATGAAATAACTAAATCTAAATGAAAATAAATGAAAATCTATAAAATTTCAGCGTAACCATGCAATCGGAAAGTTTAACAATGCAATCATATGTATGCGAAATGGTCAAATTTAATTATCAAATGGTTTACCCATTTACTGGTTTTTTTTTTTTTTTTTAAAATATAAGGCAACATAGCTAGTGCTGTCACCACGACAGAGCAGATGAGGATATTATTTTAGTCCGGGGTAAAAAAAAAAATTAACTACTGCGGATTCGAACCCAGGTCTACCGCACTTGAACCCAGTGTTCTAACCATTCGACCAAGCAGCCACCTAATCGGAACAACGAAAAGAGAACACAACTATTAGACATATGTGTCCCTACCACTGTGTCGCGATTAAAACACAATTCAAAACCGCAGGCAATTGTTTTCTCGTAGACAGATACTTCAGATATATTAATGAAATAGAAATCGCACGTGTCTAACACGGTTAATGAAGTTAATGTCGCAGTCACTGTCTCCCCCAACGTCGAGAAAGTCCTCTGCGATTGCCCCCCCCCCCCCCCCCCCCATCGAAGGTTGTTTGAAAAAAAATCAGAAAATATAAATCGTGTTTAATATGGTTATTGTGGCAAATATAGAGGTAGTCTTGTTTGCTGTACCTACTCTATGTATTAGTATTAGAGAAGGCGTTGGCTGCACGTAACTCGCCGGCGAATGGTAAATACGGCGCATGCGCAATTACTAACGTGGCTATAATTAGAAATCACTAAAGTTATAAATATTAGTTGCGTATATTTTGGCATTAATTGTGGTCACCTATCTCTAACAGTGACAGGTTGAATTTCAAACCACGACGGTTCAAAATCCGGTATCACAACAAACATATCCTGAAAATTTCAGCTAAATCGGTTCAGTAGTTTCCGAGTCTATAGGGGTGAAACAAACACACAAACATTGATTTTTATATATATAGATTGGCACAAGATGTGTGATGTGGTCAGTATCACGCTGGCCGCCTTTACTTCTGGGACTGCACCCGACACCCACTCAAGGATGGGTCGACCTGGGAGCCAAAGCCATTTTTGAAAAAGTCCAGCTCTGCCAGGGAGCGAACCCACGACCTTCCGATCCGAGGCGAGCTTCTAGCCGCTCGGCCACGGCACTCCCCTAATATTACTAAGCGCGTATTATTATTGCTTTATTATTCTGCCCACTAATATTAGGAAGGTAAAATATTCTGTTTACGGAAGGAATAACAATCACAATGATACGAGTCACAAGTGGCAAACTCACCTGGTAGAAGACGTCGTTGAACAAACGCGTTATCTTCAGAATCGTAAGATATAAAAGCATCGTAAAGAAACTGATCGTTCGGTTCTTCTCTCTCATTGTCCATCACTTTGAGGTAGGCAGCATAATAGAAGTACCGGATTTTCCAGCGGAATCTGCAGATAAATGCTTTATTAGTATGAGTTGTTTTTTGAGCCAAAACTGTACAATCTTTAGGTTAGTCCAAAGACTTTAAAGTCTAAAATACAGAGGGTTTTTGAAAAGAACATGAAAGCCGTTGACCCTGAAGCGTAGGAAAAGGGAGATGCGGAGGGATGATGGACGTGAGGGTGGTACTGGGTGTCACTTCTGAGGGGAGAGGTGACACAACCGCAAAAACATGTGTTTTAAAAATAAAAACATGTATTTGAGGGGGTGGGAGCGGGTGCCATGAAATTTTTTGCATCAGGTACCACATGGCCTTGCTACACCATTGTGCTGATGCTGATAAGCTATCAACGAAAATGATAAAATTTTCCCACGGTGCCGGAATTTTCCCCGGACGTTACCTTGGCTTCCATGTCAACGAGCCTAAACTGGGTACCAGATGAGGTCTGTGGAAGTAAAGACGGTCGGCGTGATGTTGATCACTCATCGAGGTCTATACAAATATGAGTCTAACCTCAAATACCCGATACCCCACTGGCGTGTAAAGGGGACTTAACTTGACAGTGATACTAACAGAAAGGAAGCAGGAGTTACAGGACCTAGTTAAGCAAATAGAAACAATTCTCTCTATTCAAAAGTTGTGGATTTCTAACTACTACAGACACGGCTAATGGAGACATCTTGTATATATGTGCTTAGTTTGTCATGTTTCTTAGTAGAACTGTTTTCATAGCGATTTTTTTCTCTTCGGGGAGGGGGGTTTGAAACAAGATGTCCATTAGCCAGTGTACTTATATATCAGTTGACGCTGTAATTAAGACATCCACACATAAGTATAAGCGCCAAGAAACAGATTATAAACAACATATTTATACCAGCACTGTGCTACCAGTGCGAGACCTGGACATTTTGAAACGCTAACATTCATAATATTTAACACCTGTAAAATGAGATGCCCAAGAAAAGCAAACAACATAACCATCAGAGACAGTGTTAGAAATGATATCATCAGACAGACTGTAGCAGCAACACCATGCAATAAATTCAACGAGAAACATCAGATCAAATGGTTTGGTCATCTAGTAAGAATGCAGACAGAACAACTACTAGTGCAGGTGCTGCATATGACAAGATCTGAAGTGAAAGCAAGAGGTCGGGTGCTTTCGTTTTTATTCTCCCCAAACAGACAGTCCAATATTTCAGGGGGTGGTAGATAGGCTGCACACAGTCGTGGGACCTAGGCTGTAT